AAATATATTTACTACATCACAAATTTCTTCCAGTATTTTTATTAATGATTAGCATAATTTATATGTTATACTGATATGCACAACAAAGTGTATTTAAACCCCTTGTAAATAAACCTCTTTACATAATGGATGATTCTAATATTACATCCATCATCTATGTTATCAACATTGCTAAATCTTAGATTTTTCTTTACTTAGGCTGCTATTATCGTCAACCATAACTTACTTCTAATGAAAACTGCAAAAGCTCTTTATAAATTCTTTAAAATATGGCTGGAAGTAAAAGAACCTCCTATTTCAGTAAGAAAGATATTAGAAAACCACAGTATTGTCTTGTAAAGAGACTCACTTGGATTTGACCCGTTTTCTTCAAAATCTTGCTCACTCATGATTAAGGAAAATTAAGTCGGTCTCCTCTGATGATTCTTCAGGTATCAAGAATTGAAAGAGGAAACTGACAGTTCCTTCCTCCCAGCTTAGCGTAAGACCTCAAATCCTGTTTCTTACTAGCATTGGATTAATCCTGAAAGAAGTCATTAAGACTTCAGGCTGCATGAGTGCACATGACATGAACTACATGAGAGTCACAGAACTCACTGAAGAGAATTAAGATGAAGGATTTTTGTCAGCAATTAACACCCTGCTTAGTGATATGGGAAGATCAAGTCACTGAAACATCCCATGTGTCCATTTAATAAGTACTTTAAAAGTTTTATTTCTATCAAATAAATTCATTTTAAAATATATCCACTAAACAGATCAGTAGAGATTAGCAACAAGTAGTATTAACCTATTCCAAAGACCTATCTACTATTAAAAAATCTTCTTTTACACACCAAAAGATATCTGTACGTATTAGCAGACCTTAAGCAAGTCAGTTAGTTTTTAAACATTGATTTTATGTAGAAATAGTTGGCATTTGTTCTACTTAAGATATAGCAGATAAACACTTTAAAATATAGTTCTAGTAATTTTGTAAGCTTTTTAAAAACAAATATTTTTAATTTATAAAGATTTCTTTTTAGACTGACAGCATAATTTATTAATTCTCTTTCAAATTAAATATGTCACTGTTTTCTAGTTTATGGATTAATGTATTGCACATTTTAAATCAGCCTTAGACTCATAAAAAGTGTTTCAATTCTGTTAAATGGATGCCAGTGACAGGAACAGACTAGTTCCTGGGATCAAATCTTTGAATAACATCTAAAATCTACTTTTCTCTGATCATAACATCTATGCTGCGAGCATGGTCAATTGTGGCAGTTAAGGTTGAAGGGTTGACTGAAAATACACTAGACTTCTCCGTGAGATTAATTATCTTCCTCCATTAGCACATACACACACACACACACACACACACGTGTCGACTATTCCCTGGTTTTCCAATAAGTAACATTTTACAGAAATTCACGGCATCCATGCTTCATTAGTTATATGATGGCTTCTTCGTAGATGATCAGGTTTGTTATTGCTATTCCTTGTATTTGAGGGTCTTCAATTTTAAAAGAATTTGCAGGAGTTAGTTCTCATATTAGTTTCTAAATAAGAAACTGCTAAGGCAAGGTAAATAATACTATGGGATGCTAAAAATACTAGCGATGTCTTGAAGCACCTGATACACACAGCTGCTAGGGAACGAAAAGCTGATCAACTTTACAAAATTTTTACAGGTCTATCTAGACAGTCACTACAACTATGTGTGAAAAAAACAAACAAAACACCCAAAACAAATCAAGCCCAGAATTTCTTATGAAACTTCATCCCTTACTGTCTATAGGCTCATATTTCCTTCTCCTCTTCAACCATTTACTATCTCCTGACTACCCTTTCTTTGTAGTCTATTATAAGCACATTGAAAGACACAGAAAACAGGCATGTCTTCTTTCTGCTACTTTGTGAATATTTGAGTTAGCAGGCTGCACCCTAAACCATGTTAACTTGAAGTATTCTGCCTTTTCTGAAGTACTACTGTGACTAGTGCTACAGCCCAGCCCCATAGGGAGTCACAAACGTCTTCTCCTCCTTTCACATACATCAAAGTATCATATAGTCAGAAAATATGAAGCTATGGAATTTCAGATTATTAAGAAGGAGTGCAGATCATAGAACAAGAACATCCCAGGTTACTCCTTTATGACACAGATGATTATCAGGTAAGAATGTGTGAAAGGGGATAAATGCACAAAACTGTGCACTCATTGGTAAGTGCCTTACTAATAAAAATTAAAACTACTGTTGATCTAATGACTAGACAGCATACAAATGATTCCCTCAAAAAAAATTATCAGAGTTTGATGGGACAGGTTTGTCAGGTTTTCATGTATTTGGTAGGTTGGTTTGTTTTTTTTTTAAAAAGGTACTAGTGCAGTCAAGGAAAAACTACTTGGTTTTTAAGACAGACAATTCAATCAAAACTGATAACATGCTAAATTTCTAAACAACTGGAACAAAATAGCATGCTGAGCTATATAGGCTAAATCAAATGGGAAGTTCCCATTCTCGTCTTTTTTATGTTCATCTCTGCTCTCAGCTTTACCCACCTCTCACCTTGACACAACCCTAGCCATTCTCACTTTTTGCAGTACTCACCTCAACCCAAAATGATTTTTACCTCTCCAGCAGTTTACTTTACTCACAGTTTAGCATGCTGAACCAGACCAGGGAAGCGTCTGATGGTCAAGCGCAGGAAAAAGGAAGCAAACCCAGACACAGAGGAGGACAAGGAAAGAAATAATTTACTTCTTAGCCTTTTTCTCAAGGCTGGAGCAGTGAGAAGGGCAAGGAGTCCTTCTCTGAGCAGCAGGCTTTTAGATGGGCTTAACTACAGCAGCTATCAGAAGTACAAACATTACAGAATTCTTTAGTTTTCAGAAGAATAACTCAAGAACAATTATTTTATTATACAGCATTAACTTAACAACTCCATACAATACCCAAAGCAACACTAAGTAGCACATCTTTCACTTCCCAAAACTCTCTGTCAGAGGGTAGCATTTAATCTCTCCGTGAGGTCAGAACTCTTCGCCTATAATTTATATACAAATCAATGCCTTCCCTTTTCAGTGTTTTCCTCTCTACTTCCAATTTTACAAACACACAAGAAGAGTCATACATAAATTCATCCCCTTGACTGATACAGATCCATAACAGTATTTAAATATATCTTGCAACTGTAACTACTAGTCCCCAAAACACTACCTAATCACATAATTTTTTTTTTTTATTTATCTCTGGTCTTTAGGGTTGTGATAAACCACTGTGAAAGTAGCAGTTCCTCTCTTCCTCTCACCTTCCCAGGATTTAAAAATGTTCCAAGCCTTTCAGATACTTCATTTATACATGCAGTCTAACAAATCCTGTCTAACTTTGCCTGTATGTATAGTCAGTATTTTAAAATGCCACCTGTGTAAACATCATACACCATGCCTCTCTCACTAGCTCTTCTACCAAAACAAAATTTCTCCAGATTAATGCTGTACTGCTAGTCATCCATTTAGTACAAAGAGATGTCACAGAAACAAACTGTTGTTGTTGTTGTTTGTTGTCAGAAACAAATTGTTAAACTGTCACAGCTTATATTGCTTTGGTTTTTCCATTGCATTTAGTTCGGAAAAGAAGAGGCAGTTATTAGAACACCTAGAGATTGTTTGAATATACTAAGGGAAAGGCAACTATATGTATTATATATCTTTAATAGGTAAGTAGGATTTTAGAGTAGAAAGCTTTGGAAGAAAATAACCCAACTGTGTCAGCTTGGTGTTTTACTATATTAGCTTCCTAAAATAATGTTATAAATATATTAAATTTGTCAAATATCTGTTTTTATCTCTTTACATTCATATCCCACATCACACGGAATTAGCCTTATTTATCTGTCACCAGTACCACAAAAATAAGATGCCTTTTACAAACCGCCATTTATTCACCTGTTGTCATGTAACAAAGTTAATCCCCCCACAAACCTTTACAGAAGTATCGATTGTAACAAAGCATCCAGAACAAAGTGCAACATGTGAACTAGCTCTCGAAGTGCTAGCAGTGATACACACCATACTTGGTATTGCTGCTGCAACACGCTTCGGAAAAAGGCAGTGTTAAGCGCCACAAAAATTACTGCTTTCCCAGCAGTGCCTTGTCATGCAAATGAAGAATCACTCATTTCCCCAGCAACGCTGAAGGAGAAATACTACTGCCCCTGCATTAGGGGCTGTCCTGAGCAGACCCTCACTCACGATGCCCGAGCTCCACCTCCGGTTTGATTCTACTTCCCCAGGAGACTTCAGGAACAAGGCCTAGCAAGAAGCAGGGCTCCGAACACGACGGCATCTCGTAGCAAACACCTACTTAACCCTAGACGCTATATCTGATGCAAAAGCACATGGCTGGACAAACACCTGGAGCAACGCAGGTAAAATTGTGCTCTTCTCCACAGTCTGAATCTTGCCTCTTAGCCCTCTCTCTAGTGTGCTCCAACAGCAGTTAGCCTTTAAGACAGCCTAATGGTTGGATTTGATAATCTGATCTTCAAGATCTCTTCCAACCGAAACGATTGATTCTACGTATTTTCCCCGTTCGTTAGACCGCCGCGGGCGATGCTGCTTCCGCCCGCTTCCCGTCGCAGACGGAAGGCGGTCTGACCGCCCCACACCGCCCCGGGCAGGCGCCGCGCCCGACCGCGGGCTGCTCCTCTCCCCCGGCTGGAGCCGCCCGTAAGTACTTCCTCCTTTCGGCCACCGGCGCTGACTAATGGAAACAAAGAGAAACAGGCTCTCAGCCACCCCAGGCGCCAGACTTTCGCCCTTTCCTGAACCGCACTTCTACACCTGGACAGGTAGCCCCGGCATCGCTCCCTGCAGAGAGGCGATGCGGCCCCTCCCCCTCACAGTATTCGGGGACTCTCTGTCGGCCCGCAGGCCCGCCACAGACCCACTCCTCCGCACGCAAAGAGCCGACGCTCTCTTTAGGCGTTGACCACCGGCGCTTCACCACTGTCTCACCAGTGCACCGGTCTCTCTCGTCGCCTTCATCTTCCTCCTCTCGCTGCTGCCCATCCCGCTGCCGCTCCTCGCCCTGCGCCTCCACCGGCACCACCGTGAAGCTCGTCGGCATGCTGCAGACGGCCCCAGACCAGCTGGCGCCTCCTCCCCGGGCAGCGGGCAGGGTGAGTCGGGCGCTGCCGCCTCCCTCACGTGAGAGCCATTTCCTCACGCAGCGGGGGGGCGGTGGCCGGCACCGCGCCACTTCCCCCTCACCGCTTGCCTGATGGCGCTGCGGCCGTAACTCCGAAGGGAGGGGCACAGGCCCTGGGGCATCCCCTCTTCCTCAAACCTTGGCTTACAGTTATCCTTGCAGCGCTAAGACCACCAGGCTACTGCTCCTCTGATCCCACCAGACAGAAACTGCTTTCCAAACGAAACCAGAGCCAGGCTGTAGGGCCTTAATCCTCCGGATCACTGAAGGGATGACAGTATCCAAAAGGCCTAAGTAGGGGATTTATGATCACCTATTGGACAAGTGGAGAAAATTCACTGTGTGCCTTTGGACTACCAGGACATAAAGACAGCTCCCAGAAATCTGCTTTCCTACACAGCAGCCATGCTTTCCAGTAGACAGGTGAAGGTCCTGGGATTCAGGCCAGAGTCAGCATTTAAACTCTGACCAGCAGTGATGCAGATTCAAAGAGCCAGTGGATGAGCAGTGTATCAAATTAAATATTAATGATACTAGTGATGAGATATAGCTCTTGGTTACCTACAACTTCCATCTCAAAGGAGGTCATAGCATCTCCACTCCAAAAGTAGAGAAAACAGATTTAAAAGCAAAGGACATTTTTCTTGTTCTTCTAGCAAGTGCTAGAATAAACCAGAAAGACTATTCATTCAGTCTGTATCTGTGTCTTTTGGAAGAGGACTGGTAGTTTTGTGGCTCCTATACTTCATTGGGATGGAAGATGTATATGTAACACTGCAGTCTATCCCACAGCATAAAGGCCTTCAGAGAAGGGAGTAGGCAAATTATTCTGGCCATCAAACGTGGCAGTGAGCTGGCAGATGTGGAGATGATTGGTTTGAAAAACAGCATTTACTGAACCAGATTTCAGTGAAAAACAGAATTCCCTGAAAACCAGAATTCACAATCCCTCCTCTTTGTTTTTCTTACTGTATTTGGCTTGAGCTACAACTTTTGTACTTCTACACTTTTGGCATGCTGATACTTTTCATAGGTCTTAAATGCCTTGTTTTCATCATCTTTTTCTTTCCTCAATACCATAATTTTCTGCTTTCGTCCTGTGGTTCCCAACTTTGGATTGGTGGATACTGTCATTATTTGCATGTTTTGGACTACGTAAGTGATTAATTGAATAAAGCATTAGATCAAACATGGAAAAAGATTAGACCTGTTATTCCGCATAGCAATACAAATCCGGCCCTCTTCCAACAGGATATTCCAAAAAAAATCTTCCAACCATCCTGTATTCATTATAGATTCCCATTTTTGTACTGGCACATGGGCTATTTTCCAGATGTTTCTGGCTATATCCAGCTGCATCCCCAATATCATCAATTTGTAGACAGCAATCAGATGTGTTAAACCCCTCCCTCTTCTGCTAACAAATAGTCTAGTGCTAATCGATTTTGATGCACTGCATCTCTGGTTTGCTTTTGCTGTTTGGCTATTCATTCCACGACCCCCTGCTGTTTCATTAGATATGATTTCTACAACTGCTTGTAGTCTTATGATGCAATTCAACATATAAATTGGGGTTCAATATCTCCAACTCCCATCTTGTGCCCAGGTAGCTGGACCATATGTCTGTATTATCCATTCAGGTGGCCACTCTTCATCACCCCACTTTTGGTATCCCCCAATTTCTCCAATTAGTTTCTCTCTTCTTTCTTTTTAGGGCATCAGTATTCCCAGATCATCTCCATCTTGGCTTGGCAACAGGAAAAATCCTGGTTGTATAATTCCCAGGGTGCAACTTCCTTTCCATAGGAGAGGAAGTTCTGAATAAGCTCTTTTTCCACATATCCAAAATAAGCCATCTGGTGCTTTCCTTTATTTGCTCCTTTGGTTATTAATATTTTCCCAAAATTCAGATATTTCAGGAGTCTCATAATAGGGATTTTTCCCAGAGTCATTGCACCGGAAAAGCTTAATTTCTTTTTCATATTTACAATTCTTTTTCCTTTCCTGGGTCCAATATTGGGATATTGGTCCAGGGATCCACCATGTGAAAGTTCCATTATATACTTTAACACTTTTATAAGAGGTCTTTTAACACTTTTATAAGAGGTCTGTCCTTGTCTGAAAATTCTCTTCCCATAGGCTAGAGGCACTCCTCTCCAATTATGTCTGAACTTAATATCCACCCCTCTGTCTGATTTTCCCCTTTTATTTTGGATCTGTTCCATTTGAGAAGTTCAACTGGGCCTAGGCTACTACCCTTCCATGGCCATTCTTCAGATATTAAAGTTCCTCCACAAACCCAGCAGCTGGTAACATTTAGCTCCCTGCTGATCCTTTCTCCCAGATGTACAAAGAAATTTTCCCCTAACTTTGGTATTTTTATTTCATTTTCCAATTGTTCTCTGAATTTTGCATATAAACCTCCATGTGGAGTTGGCTTCAGAGTGGTGGGTTGCTGTGTCTGTTTTCTTTGTTTTGTTTATCCTTATTTGTTCCCATATTGTCTTGTATCAAATCTTGTTCCTTTTTCTATTCTCGGGTTTGACTCGTGGGGAAACAAACCCATTTATCTCCTCGTGGGCACCCCTGTTTTGACCCTACAGTTTTGGTAACTTTATACATTCGGTCATTTTGTATGCAGATGTCTACCTGAGAGAGTTACAGCAGTGGTGGCTAATGAAGGTATGAAAGCTAAAGTAAGAACCTTGGGTTTTCCCATGGTATAGTGGTCTATAGCATTTGTGGCAGGGATCATCTGGATTCCCAAAGGTGACATGATTAATAAGGAGTAACAGAAGCCCAGTATAATGTGTACCCCCACCTGCCATGCCTGGTGACGTGGCTGCCCACAGCACGTGGACATGAGTGGTGACAAGTATAGTGGTTAATTTGGTCTTGCCTTCTGGTCTCCTTATCCCAAAATTACCTATGTAACCTGCTTTTCTCATTTTGTGATTCTCTATAGTTCCTTACATAGTCAGCCCTTATTAAGTTCACTCTCAGAATAGGGTCTTATTATCTCCCCATCATATAAAGTAATTGCCTGCATTCAAAATATGGTCTCTGTTTTTGATTTAGTACCTCCCACTCAACTTCTAATAGCTTGTGAATATCAGGGATCATCCACTCAACTCCACAACAAAGTGTTAGAATTGGTACCTGCCCTCGATTAGTGTTGGGACTTTTCCCTTTATCTTGACAAATTTTGTTACATGCTTGCTGCCTGAGCAAGCATGCCTTCCCTTTATCTTGACAAATTTTGTTACATGCTTGCTGAGCTACAGTGCCAGAGCTGGCCACAGTTTTCACACTGACATTGTACCTAACTTGAGTGTCTCATTCCAGGATACTTTAAGCCGGGTATGTGATCAAGAATAAATCTGGGAGGTGTCTCAGCAGAAAAGCCTGTCACAGACATCTTTTCATAAAAATTCTTTCTTTAGGATTTTTCCCCCTTCTGAGAAGCTGTGGCCTCAGCAACAAAATGTAAACAATGGTTATCTGCTGCAGTGGAATGCAACAGGTGGATCCGTGATTGGTCTCGGGTGGATGTTTGGATTTACTGACCACTCACAGCAGAGCTGGGTCTCACTCTCTGCTGAGACACAGACCTTTGTTATTAATTCCTTTTCTATTCTTAGCTTAGCTACCTTTCTGAGAACATTTCTCTCTATTCTTTTTTGTATAGTCATAATGTAATATATATATATATCATAAAATAATAAATCAAGCCTTCTGAAGATGAGGCCAACATTCTCATCTCTCTCTCACCCTGCAACCCTTGCAAGCCCTGTGACAAAAGGCTAATGTTTGTTCTTTCTGCACATCACAGGCAAAAGCAAAAACTCTAGGCTCATCTATGGACCTGGCGTTTCTTAGTTTGCATATACCTGATACCCCCGACTGGGGAGGTAGCAAACCACCGCCCCAGAGTTTGGAAGGCTTCTGACCTTTGGGGATACAAAAGAATCACTAAAGCTCACGGGGAAACATTGCAGTACCTCTTCTAGGGCTTGTCCAAATAAATTAGGGGATTCAGTAAATCCTTGGGGCAATTTAGTCCATCTGAATTTTTGTTCTCTCTCTGTATCAGGATCTTCCCATTTGAAAGCAAATATGTCTCTGCTTTCCTCTGCAAGGGGACAGGCCCAAAAGGCATCTTTGAGATCTATCACACTGACACACCGGTGTGATGAAGGAATTCTACTTAACAGTGTATAGGGATTTGGTACTACTGCATATCATTCTATAGTTCTTTTGTTTACTTGTCTCAGGTCTTGGATAAGCTTCTGTTCCGTTTGATTTTTTTACTGATAATATGGGGGTATTGTGGGGAGACATGCACGGCTCCAAAGTTTCATCTTTGATTAATTTATGATTTACAGTTTTCAACCCTTTTCTTGCTTTGAGAGAGAGTGGATATTGCTGTATCCTTAGTGGCAGTTACACTGCTATAGATAGGGGTTATGTTTAACTTACCCTTATTTCCAGGTTTGGCCCAAACTACTTCAATTTGCTTTTCATCTTCTTTTAACCTGAGGAATTTAACTACCATTTTATCCCCCTCTGGAAGGACTCCTATGCCTGTATCCTGTTGCAACTGTAGTTGCAACTTCCTTTCCAGCAGATTACATCCTGGCCCTGGTACAAATAAAACATCCCCCATTCCTATCTTGTTGGTTCCTTCAAATATCATGTTTTATGACTGGCAGTCTAAATCCTTCCCCTTTTGCCCCTGCTACTTGAATTGTATCTTGGCTTTTCTCTTTGTTAGGGTTTTACACACACATGTCCTCTCTGCCCTGTATCCGCTAAAAACTCGAATTCCTCCTCCTGGGGGCCTACTTTAAAAGTTATCAAGGGGTCCTGTTGGTATTTTGCCCCCAGGAGATAGAGCCCTTGACCCCCCAATTTGTCTGTTTCTTGAGCCTCCTTGAAAACTTTCAGATCCTTTTCTCTCTGTGGGCAGTTTCATCCTTAGTGTCCAATTTTCTTGCAAAAATGGCAGATTGGGCCCTGATTATTAAATTCCCCTTCTTCCCTTGTAGGGCCTCTCTCCAAGGGAGCTCTATGCCCCTTAATTTCCTCCCAGCCCCCCTTGCTGTGGCCTGACTGGGGCCTCACCTCCCTATAGGAGTGAGTCTTTACCCAGTGGTTTCCTTCAGCAATAGCAGCTGACATTATCTTAGCCTTTGCCTTTTCTTTTTCTTCATCTCTTCATACATATACCTTTTGGGCTTCCTTTAGCAGGTCATTCAACCCTGTGTCTTGCTAATCCTCTAATCCTTCTAGCTTCTTTCTTATATCCGGCCAGGCATATGTGTCAAAGGTCACTTTTAGCAGTGTTTGTCCCACCTCCGTATCAGTATCCATTCTTGAGTACTGCCTCATATTCCTTTTAAAGCTCTCCAGCCATTCAGTTGGGGTTTCATCTTTTTTTTTGTTGCTCTGCAAACGCTGTGTGTGCGTTCTGATTACGGGGAGCTGTTTCCCTCATTCCCCTGATAATCAATGTTCTGTATTCTTCCATGTTTGCCTTCCCCTGGTCCCACATCCTGCGCTGTAGACTGTAATTGCATTTTATCCTCCCCAGGGGGTCTGTTGACATGTTCCCTCTCCCATATTCACATACCAGCAGCTCAAATCATCTGTCTTTTTTCAAATGTAAACAAAAGGTTTAGTATAGATTGCATTTCTTCCCAAGTATAAATATTAGGCCCTAAAAACTGGTCTACTTATTCTGGTAATCCAATAGGGTCTTCAAATAGACCTCTCAATTCCTTTTTGAATGCTCTTACTTTGGAGGAATTGAATGGGACTGTGACAAACCCAATCCCCCCTTGTGTCCCTCCCAGTGGAACTTCCCAGAGGGGGTATAGTGATGCTGCTTGGTCTTCCCTTTTTAATTCCTCCTGCTGAGCAGCTCTTCCCAAGGTATTCTGACTAGGCCTGTCAGGGGGCTGAGGGGATTCATTAGGTGCTGGCAGATATGGGGGGGAAGACAGTCTAAGGGGTCTCTCTTTTTGTCTTCTTCTAATTTAAACACCTTTGCTTCTCCCAGAGAGTTTACCTTTCCCGAGCAAGCGGCATAATCCTTTTCTCCTTGCCTGACACCTTTCTTGTAATTTACATAAGTATTTAAGGCTTGGCATATTTCCCTTTCAAAAGACCCATGTAGGGGCCAGAATAAATGGTCTGATCTCATCTCTTCTTTAGT